CAGTTATAATGAACAGTACAATGTGCAGAAATGTCTTTATAATGCTATTGACATATGCAGCAAGACAGCAATGCCCGAGACGAGGTAAGAGAACCTCTTCTCTCTGATTGTTTGTGGATAGTTGTAATGCATTAATAAAAGGTTCGATGTCACAGAGATAACTCCTTTTGAGGAGGATGCCCATGTCTGTCATGTTCAGTATGATGGAAAGCAGTTTTCTAAAACGGATACCATAAGACCCCATACCATCTTTCCAACGATCTTGAAAATTATCAACATAATCACAGGTTTGATTTATGTAAATAGTTACTAAATACCATCCATGTTTAAAAGAAAATCAATACCTGACCCCACCCAGGTGCAATCTTAGACTACATTACTACTATGGTATTATTTGTAACACTTTGAAAATGAATGTCACCTTCATACTGCTGTCACTCAGCTACCATGTTGTACAAAGTTAGAAGTGATGACTGGGTGAATGAATAGAAACCATCCATTATGATTCTGCCCATTTGTTGAGTAATGGACATTGATTTATTTCGTTGGTATTAATAATTGTTTTGCATTAGAATGTTATTTAAAAAAGTATAGCTAGAAAATATCAACATCGGCCATGGTCTATTGCTATTCTATTCCAATTTCAATGTTTTCAACAGAAGTTTCATCATTTTAAACGTAATCATGCTATAAATATACGAGTCGTACAACACATTTCTATTTTGTCACAGTCAGAAGAGTCACATCATATATAAATTTATAACGAGCTATTCCTTATTCCTTAAATGGAACACAAACCCACTTAAACATAAACATTTTTGACGTCATGGAATGGAAAGGCAAAGTTTATATTGTATGCGTGGCTCTATATATACTGAGTCAAATTAAAAACTTCACATTTTTAAAAGTAATCCCATATATGATATACAACGGACAAATGTATCAGAGATAGTAATTTTTAATCATTAATGTCCAAAGAAGGATTTTAATTAACGGTGGTAACCATAATTTGTTCCAAGCACCTACGGTATTCGGTAATAACATCAACAGTTTAAATCATAAATCCCAAACACGAGAATCTGATGGCACACAAGTTCAGTAGCGTGTATGGCCATCATGTGCGTTGACAACTGCCACACAACGCCTCCGCATGGACCTTGTGATGCTTGTGAACACATGATTGGGAAGACGACGCCGTTGTTGCTGCAAAATGGTGCCCAGATCTTGCAAATTCTGTGGTTGGTTCTGGAGAGCGCGCAGACTTCTGCCAAGAGCATCCCAGACGTGTTTGATGGGATTGAGGTCGGGAGACCTTGACGGCCAGTCCATGACATTGACTCCCGCATTCTGAAGGAAATTCCTTGTCAAAATTGCTATGTGGGGTCTGGCATTGTCGTGTTGGAAGATCAAACCGGGTCCATGTGCTGCCATAAAAGGCAGAAGTTCTGGTGCCAGTACCTGGTCGCGGTAAGCAGCAGCGTTGAGGTTGCCACGGATGACAAGAAGCCTGGAACGTGCATTGCCACAGAAAGCACCCCACACCATGACACTTCCGCCTCGAAATCTGTCAACTTCCTGTACACAACACTGGGCGTAACGTTCATGACGGCACCTCCACACTCTCGCCCTACCATCAGCAAATCGAAGATTGAATCAGGATTCATCACTGAAGACGACTTGATTCCAATTCCTCTGAGTCCATCGTAAGTGTCGCTGTGCCCACAATTGACGTTGACGTCTGTGTAATTGAGTCAGAATCGGCCCGCAGTATGGCCGTCGTGCTTGAAGGTGAGCAGTTCTCAGACGGTTTCGAAAAGTTTGCGCACTCAGTCTACCCCTAAACAGTTTATTTCTGGTTGATGTAGCCGTCAAAAATCGGTTGCGGAGGTGACGTAAGACAATCTTTAGATCCTCTGCATGTGACGTCACACGTGGTCGACGTGGTCGCTACGGACGTTCCCGTCTGCAACATGCTGATGGCACATTCATGTTGCACATTTGAAAGGCGTGGCATGACAAATGGCCGTAAAGACTTTTGTTTTCTTGTGTTTTTCTTGTTAATGACTGCTAACAAGTATGGCTGAAAACATGTGCGGTATTTTGGCCACATGACCAGTTGCACGTGAAAAAACACTTTTGCCACTATAGTGCTGTGCGCATGATTTTGATCGATTCACCTGCACAAAAACGGGTGTTATCTGAAGACAATACGTGGCCATTACTGTTTTAATACACAATAAGGGCCCACAATGATAACTGCTCAAAATGTTAAAATTTTAGGATTGTGAAGTTTTTAATTTGGTTCAGTATATGTCGACATAACAATTACATAACATTGTGTATGTCTAATATTTCGAAGGCGTTCACAGCCATCATCTCATTGGCCTGTACCGGCTCCTATATTGTGATATTAGAGACGGGGCCAAGCTTATCACAGGGGTGGATATATATATACCGATCATATGACGTTTGAAAATTCTCTTTGTCTAGTCTTGTAAGTAGACTAGTACTATTAGACATATTCCGTTTGAGACCCCTTTTGGCATATATTCCTTGGGTTACCACTTCACAAAGCCAAATATCTAAGGGATGCTAGATACCAGAACCCACCGGTCTCTCTGGTGTATACTGGCACTGATGTAATAGAGGTGTGGTATTTGCAAGAATTATCAAACAATAGTTATCATTGTGAATAATTCTAAGAATACCACCTCTATTACATCAGGAATTAATCCCTCCCACCTCCCCAAATATCTGCATCTAGTTGATGAGGATAATGGGTTGAAAGAAGTGAGTAGATTCCCACCTTGCGCATGTGCGGTGGCGCACCTGGCAAGGGAGAGGGTTTCCCTCACAACTATAGATATGTTGGCAGAAAAGAGGACGTCTGTTGAAAATTTATAAAAATTTATAGTGTGGTTCTCAGCATAAACAGGAATTTATGGCACTGATGTAATAGAGGTGGTATTCTTATGAATGATACACAATGATAACTATTGTTTGATATAGCTGGGTATCTAGGCATCATGTAGTCATTAATGTAGGTTTCAGATAGCCATATAGCTGGGTACCATTGGGAAGCAAATTGGGGAAAAAAAAAAATTTATTCAAAATTGGGACTTTTTAAAGTTGAAATTTCCTAACTTCTGGGGTATTTTGACATTGCATTCCATATAGTATTGTATTGCTGAGCATTAAGCTTCTTCCTCTTTAATTGACCCTGTGAAATACAAGTCACCTGTACAAAGTCTTATCGTTAGTTGTAACTTTATCAACATGAATTGGGAAATGTTAAATTCCAATTTGGGATTTTTTTACTGACATTTGCTGCAGACTTGTAAGGGTCATTCAATCATTCATGTTATTCATACTGTCATGTACAAGGGTCATTCAATCATTCATGTTATTCAGACTGTCATATGTAAGGGTCATTCAATCATTCATGTTGTTCAGACTGTCATGTATAAGGGTCATTGGATCATTCACGTTATTATCCCCCGCCACAAAGTGGAAGGGGGATATAGGAATGCCATCACATTTAGTTTCCGGAGCAGATCTTGAAATCTGTATCATATTTCTTCACCAAACTTGGCACATATATAGGTCTAGTGGTGAACTGGTGCCTTTTGATAGTTTGGGATTTTTAAAGAAATTATTTTTCGAGTTTCGATGGCAACGACTTTGACTTAGACTGAAAATAGGGGTAGTCCTCGTTTCTGGAGCAGATCTTGAAAACCGTACCATATTTCTTCACCAAACTTGGCACATAGAAAGGTCTAGTGGTGAACTGGTGACTTTTGATAGTTTAGGATTTTAAAAAGAAAACCTATTTTGAGTTTTAGTGGCAACGACTTTGACTTACCGGGTAGACTGAAAATGGCGGTAGTCCTCGTTTCTGGAGCAGATCTTGAAAACCATACCATATTTCTTCACCAAACTTGGCACATAGAAAGGTCTAGTGGTGAACTGGTGACTTTTGATAGTTTAGGATTTTAAAAAGAAAACCTATTTTGAGTTTCAGTGGCAACGACTTTGACTTAGACTGAAAATGGCGGTAGTCCTCGTTTCTGGAGCAGATCTTGAAAACCGTACCATATTTCTTCACCAAACTTGGCACATAGAAAGGTCTAGTGGTGAACTGGTGACGTTTGATAGTTTAGGATTTTAAAAAGAAAACCTATTTTGAGTTTCAGTGGCAACAACTTTGACTTAGACTGAAAATGGCGGTAGTCCTCGTTTCTGGAGCAGATCTTGAAAACCATACCATATTTCTTCACCAAACTTGGCACATAGAAAGGTCTAGTGGTGAACTGGTGACTTTTGATAGTTTAGGATTTTAATAAACCCAACATATTTTGAGTTTCCATGGCAACGACTTTGACTTAGACTGAAAATGTAAGGGTCATTCAATCATTCATGTCATTCAGTCAGTCATATGTAAGGGTCATTCAATCATTCATGTTATTCAGACAGTCATATGTAAGGGTCATTCAATCATTCATGTTATTAAGACTGTCATGTATAAGGGTCATTCAATCATTCATGTTATTCAGATTGTCATATGTAAGGGTCATTCAATCATTCATGTTATTCAGACTGTCATGTACAAGGGTCATTCAATCATTCATGTTGTTCAGAGGGTCACACACACACACACACACACACACACACACACACACACACACACACACACATTGAATTAGGCTTCAGAATGTTTCAGAATGTGTCCCAGATTGTTCAGGCAGTGTCTTCATCATGTGTGCAGGCCATCCTTGTGTCAATAGCAGCCATTGAACCACCATCTCTTTCTGGCCAATTCCAACGGAATATGATGAAAATAGCCTGAGCTGGGGATGACATTGAAATAGATGTCAACAAGAAATAGGTGTATAAGTGCTATCAAATCATGTTTGAATTAATATGACCATCTTTATATTTTGTCTTCTGAAGATGAGGGTTCATAATGCTGATATATGTTGTGCATCATCCTTTGTTTACAGACGCCTGATGATTGAAAAGATTGCATCTCACCTGGCTGACTTCAGTCCACGCCTGCAGAGCAACACTCGGGCCCTGTATCAGTACTGCCCCATCCCTGTTGTCAATTTCCCACAGTTAGAGAATGAGCTGTTCTGTAACATCTACTACCTCAAACACCTGTGTGATACAGTCAGGTTCCCAAACTGGCCTATCAAAGATCCGGTGAGTTAGATATAAAATACTGTTTGAATTTTAAGGGCGTTGCTGGTTCACCTTGACAGTCTGTAAGAACCTGTTTTCTGAGAGTTTTGTATAGCCCGACTGCTAGATCCACCCTGCTTTGGTATCTTTGTATATCCCCTGACTGACTGTCATGGAGACCCTCCCTGTTATGGGACAATTGTATATTTTCTGACTGTCATGTAGACCCACCTGGCTTTGGTACCTTCGTATAGTCACTGACTCTCTCATGGAGACCCTCCCTGCTTGGGGACATTTGTATAGTAACTGACACTCATATAGACCCTCCCTGCTTGGGGACATTTGTATATTTTCTGACTGTCATGTAGACCCACCTGGCTTTGGTACCTTTGTATAGCCACTGACTGTCATGTAGACCCTCCCTGCTTGGGGACATTTGTATATTTTCTGACTGTCATGTAGACCCACCCGGTTTTGGTACCTTCGTATAGTCACTGACTCTCATGTAGACCCTCCCTGCTTGGGGACATTTGTATATTTTCTGACTGTCATGTAGACCCACCCGGTTTTGGTACCTTCGTATAGTCACTGACTCTCATGTAGACCCTCCCTGCTTGGGGACGTTTGTATATTTTCTGACTCTCATGTAGACCCTCCCTGCTTTGGTACCTTTGTATAGCCACTGACTCTCATGTAGACCCTCCCTGCTTTGGTACCTTTGTATAGTAACTGACACTCATATAGACCCTCCCTGCTTGGGGACGTTTGTATATTTTCTGACTCTCATGTAGACCCTCCCTGCTTTGGTACCTTTGTATAGCCACTGACTCTCATGTAGACCCTCCCTGCTTTGGTACCTTTGTATAGCCACTGACTGTCATGTAGACCCTCCCTGCTTTGGTACCTTTGTATAGCCACTGACTCTCATGTAGACCCTCCCTGCTTTGGTACCTTTGTATAGACCCTGACTCTCATATAGACCCTCCCTGCTTGGGGACGTTTGTATATTTTCTGACTGTCATGTAGACCCTCCCTGCTTTGGTACCTTTGTTTAGCCACTGACTGTCATGTAGACCCTCCCTGCTTTGGTACCTTTGTATAGCCACTGACTCTCATGGTCTAGTGGTAGAGCATCCGCCCGGAGAGCGGAAGGTCCGGGGTTCGATCCCCGGCCGCGTCATACCAAAAGACGTTAAAAGATGGTACTTGTTGTTACCCTGTCTGGCGCTCGGCATTAAGGGGCTAAAACAAGGACTGGTCGGCTCGGAGTCAGTATACTGTGTCTGAGTGGGGTATTCATGTTAAACTGCGCCATGGTATCTCAGTGAGCTAGCACTATAAATCGGCATCAGTCCGGACTAGTACAAGCAGCCACACAAACACACACACGTACATGCACGTTCCTATATAAGTGCAATAATCTTGGACGCGACGTTAAACCCCATTTCACCTCACCTTGTATATTTTCTGACTCTCATATACACCCTCCCTGCTTGGGGACGTTTGTATATTTTCTGACTCTCATGTAGACCCTCCCTGCTTTGGTACTTTTGTATAGCCACTGACTCTCATGTAGACCCTCCCTGCTTTGGTACCTTTGTATAGTCACTGACTGTCATGTAGACCCTCCCTGCTTGGGGACATTTGTATTTTTCTGACTGTCATGTAGACCCTCCCTGCTTTGATACTTTTGTATAGCCACTGACTCTCATATAGACCCTCCCTGCTTGGGGACGTTTGTATAATTTCTGACTCTCATGTGGACCCTCCCTGCTTTGGTACCTTTGTATAGCCACTGACTCTCATATAGACCCTCCCTGCTTGGGGACATTTGTATTTTTCTGACTCTCATGTAGACCCTCCCTGCTTTGATACTTTTGTATAGCCACTGACTCTCATGTAGACCTACCCTGCTTTGGTACCCTCGTATAGTCACTGACTCTCATATAGACCCTCCCTGCTTGGTGACGTTTGTATATTTTCTGACTGTCATGTAGACCCTCCCTGCTTTGATACTTTTGTATAGCCACTGACTCTCATGTAGACCCACCCTGCTTTGGTACCTTTGTATAGACCCTGACTCTCTTATAGACCCTCCCTGCTTGGGGAGTTTTCCTATTTTCTGACCGCCTCCGTGGTCTAGTGGTAGAGAATCCGCCCGGAGAGCGGAAGGTCCGGGGTTCGATCCCCGGCCGCGTCATACCAAAAGACGTTAAAAGATGGTACTTGTTGTTACCCTGTCTGGCGCTCGGCATTAAGGGGCTAAAACAAGGACTGGTCGGCTCGGAGTCAGTATACTGTGTCTTAGTGGGGTATTCATGTTAAACTGCGGCATGGTATCTCAGTGAGCTAGCACTATAAATCGGCATCAGTCCGGACTAGTACAAGCAGCCACACAAACACACACACGTACATGCACGTTCCTATATAAGTGCAATAATCTTGGACGCGACGTTAAACCCCATTTCACCTCACCTTGTATATTTTCTGACTCTCATATACACCCTCCCTGCTTGGGGACGTTTGTATATTTTCTGACTCTCATGTAGACCCTCCCTGCTTTGGTACCTTTGTATAGCCACTGACTCTCATATAGACCCTCCCTGCTTTGGTACCTTTGTATAGCCACTGACTCTCATGTAGACCCACCCTGCTTTGGTACCTTTGTATAGCCACTGACTCTCATGTAGACCCTCCCTGTTTTGGTACCTTTGTATAGCCACTGACTCTCATGTAGACCCTCCCTGCTTTGGTACCTTTGTATAGTCACTGACTGTCATGTAGACCTCCCTGCTTTGGTACCTTTGTATAGCCACTGACTGTCATGTAGACCTCCCTGCTTTGGTACCTTTGTATAGTCACTGACTCGCATATAGACCCTCCCTGCTTGGGGAAGTTTGTATATTTTCTGACTCTCATGTAGACCCTCCCTGCTTTAGTACCTTTGTATAGACCCTGACTCTCATATAGACCCTCCCTGCTTGGGGACGTTTGTATATTTTCTGACCCCCTCCGTGGTATAGTGGTAGATCATCAGCCCGGAGAGCGGAAGGTCCGGGGTTCGATCACTGACTGCGTCATACCAAAAGGCGTTAAAAGATGGTACTTGTTGTTAACCTGTCTGGCGCTCGTCATTAAGGGGCTTAAACAAGGACTGGTCGGCTCGGAGTCAGTATACTGTGTCTGAGTGGAGTATTCATGTTAAACTGCGGCATGGTATCTCAGTGAGCTAGCACTATAAATCGGCATCAGTCCGGACTAGTACAAGCAGCCACACAAACACACACACGTACATGCACGTTCCTATATAAGTGCAATAATCTTGGACGCGACGTTAAACCCCATTTCACCTCACCTTGTATATTTTCTGACTCTCATATAGACCCTCCCTGCTTTGGTACCTTGGTATAGCCTCTGACTCTCATGTAGACCCTCCCTGCTTTGGTACCTTTGTATAGCCACTGACTCTCATGTAGACCCTCCCTGCTTTGGTACCTTTGTATAGCCACTGACTGACATGGAGACCTTGCCTGCTTTGGTACCTTTGTATAGGCACTGACTCTCATGTAGACCCTCCCTGCTTTGGTACCTTTTTATAGTCACTGACTCTCATGTAGACCCTCCCTGCTTGGGTACCTTTGTATAGCCCCTGACTCTCATGTACACATTCCTTGCACAAGGACTTTTATATCCAATCCTCGAATCCATCTTGCGAATCCTCTGTTACATCTTTGCCATAAATCCTTTATTTTGGCTTCAGTCCCACTCACTAAATTTTGAAATTTTCAACAGATGTCCTCTTCACTGTCAATCACACACAATAATTTGTTCCCCAAGAGCTATGACGTGCGTAGTGGCAGGAAACATCACTTTTCTCCTGTGTCTGCTTGAGTCAACACCTATTGTTGTAGTTGTAATGATACAGCACTTGGTTTAGTCACATTTAATCTAAGATTGTTTTATGGTTTTCTAATAAAACATATATATATAAAGTCATATTAAGAATTGCTAATTGTAGTGACGATCGTACTCACATAAGTATTGCTGGTGTGAGGTGTTTTTGAGGTCGCCATAGAGTCTCCCCCTCCTTCTGCTTGTAAGAAGTGTGGCTATTTTACGATCACAGGAGATCCTCACAGGACAGTATTGGCTAAGAAGAGTTCAGCATCTCTACTCCATCGATTGAACCTAATTCTATGTTCTCTATGAACATGTAAGAAGCAGAAAGTATTGGCTAAGAAGAGTCCTCCGACCAAGAGGCCGCATGTGGGACGTCTGTACAGCCTACCCCAGATGACCATAAGGACCAGCCAGGTAGAAGTTCCAAGCTTTACCCTCCCGTGAGATAAGGGCATCTAAATCTCCGCTTGGGTCCAGTCATGGTACCGCAAGGCCTTCTTCCTCATCTAAGCCACTGTACAGTCCGCACTGAACCCCATGGTAGCCAGCAGACCGTTACAGGAGCGTCACTTCAACCGCATAGTCACCATCAATCGGCGGAACCCAAGTCGACAGCACGGGACCATTGAGGATCTACTGACCGAGACAAGAGATTACATCATGGGTCAGCCTAGCAGGTTTGATGGAGGACCATCATTCCTGTACGGGTTCCATTATACACGAGCAGTCAGCACAAGCCGCACGGACCTCACTCATAGAGGAGTCCTGGACACCAGCAGATGATGAACTGCACGGGAAACATGTTGAGTGTATGGATTATGTCAAACATCCACCCCTCCCAGGAGTTACCCACAGTCATTCTGAGGCGGAAACAGACCTATATGAGGAGGACCCATGAAGATCCGGGGTAGAATAGGTCTTCAGCAAACCATGCTTGCCGAAAAGGCAACTATGCTTGTTGTAAGAGGTGACTAACGAAAGGGGTGGTCAGGCAGCCTGACTTGGTTGATGCTTGTCATCGTATCCCAATTGCTTGGATCGATGCTCATGATGTCAACCACTAGATTGTCCCGAACAACAACTATTACAGACGCGTCAGATTCTGGATGGGGAGCCGATAT